GGACAGAAGTGGAATGTTATGCAATGGCCAAGTCAATCACCTGACCTGAATCCCATTGATCATGCATTTCACTTGCTGAAGACAAAACTGAAGGGAAAATGCCCCAAGAACAAGCAGGAACTGAAGACAGTTGCAGTAGAGGCCTGGCAGAGCATCACCAGGGATGAAACCCAGAGTCTTGTGATATCTATGCGTTCCAGACTTCAGGCTGTGATTGACTGCAAAGGATTTGCAACCAAGTATCAAGGGAAAGTTTGATTTATGATTATTATTATGTCCCATTACCTTTGGTCCTTTAACAAGTGGGAGGCACATATGCAAATTGCTGTAAATCCTACACCGTTTATCTGAGTTGGATGTACATACCCTCAAATTAAAGCTGACAGTCTGCAGTTAAAGCACATTGTGTTTGTTTCATTCCAACTCCATTGTGGTGGTGTATAGAGCCAAAGATGTTAGAATTGTGTCGATGTCCCAATATTTCTGGATCTGACTGTATACCTGGAAAAAGTACTTGCAAAACTTGGACAGAAGGAAAAGAAAGGCAGGACTGGACTCATTATCAGTAGCTAGTAGTTCATTGTTATCAGTGACTCCCACTGATTCTAAACTAATTTTAAGACTGGGATTGGGGACTACTGAAATTTAAGTATTCAACATTGGTCTCAGAAATCTTTGATTTGAACTATGGCAAAAAAAAATCATAAAATGGGGCAAAACTCACTTAACCATAATAATTTCTAGATATTTTAAGTGTAGAGAATTCAAGTGTTGAGAATGACCCATTATTTCATCTCTTTTTCCGCACTAGGTACCACTATTTGATTTCATTTTATTCAAATAACAAGAGAAAACCCAATACAGTTCAATATGAATTGGCTTTCCAGTCCTTCCTTGATGCACTTTTTCACATTGGTTATCTAGTTTAAATGCCAAAGAAAAATCAATGATATATTTTTCAGATCTTTGGAGGATCACACTGTCAATTGTTCACACTGCTCAAGCAAAACTAACAGGTGTGAATTAAGTTTTAGCTAAAAAATGGAGCTTTAATTCCAGAAGTCCATTCTTTAAACTTGGACATCTGGAATTAAAAGGCTCTGGATTAAATGGTACTCCAGACAAAAGATGGAGAAGAGTATCTTGCTTTTAGACATAATAATAGCTGTCTAGAAAGGTGAATTATGAGCTATTTTACGTCATCAGAAATTTAATTTATTACCTGTTAAAAATGCAAAGACAAGGAGTACAAGGAGCAAATAAAAGACCTTCATGTTGGGGTTGGTTCTGGACCAAATCTTACTTGTGGGACAGAAACCAGCTCTCAGCCCTCCTCGTGACTTCCTGAAAAGCATCCCCCACCCACACGCTCCACCGCCTGAGGAAGCAGGGGAGGGCTGCAGGTTGATCCCAAGGGGGTCTGGGAATGGGTGTGAATTCATCCCACAGCCCTCTCCATCCCCTCCTCTGTGAAATTGCTTTCTCCCACTCGCTGGTGGTCAGCAAATTCAAAAGGAACCCCCAGCTGAGAATCACTGCTCTAGATTGGTTGATTCAGGGGATTTCTTTAGTATTAACTAATAGTGTTGGCTATTTTTGTTACAGGGATAGATTTGTATTGGAGTAGCCCGCAGGCCTCCCAAAGGCTCTGTGCACCCTGTTTTTGCGAAAAATGGGCCCGTTTTTCACAAAAACGGGACATGCGGGGCAAGGCTTCAGGAGGCCAAAAATGGCTGTATTCCATGTACTTTACTGTTACTATCTTACTTAGTGGGTTGTGCAAACTGCTATTCTGAACAATGCTATTTATAGGGGGTGGGGATGGGAGCAGTGGTGGGTTGCCCCGGTTCTCACCGGTTCTATAGAACCAGTAGTAAAACCGGCAGGAGGCCCCGCCCACCGACCCTGACATCACCAAAACACTTCTGCGCATGTGCAGAAGAGCGTGTGCATACGCGAGCGAAATGAGCGCGCGCGTGCCCCCGCTGCATGACCACCAAGCCACGGCCACAGAACCAGTAGTAAAAAATTTTGAATCTGACCACTGATGGCATGGTAGTATAATTTATGTTCTTTTTTATATTCGGGAATCCAGAAGATTTACTCTTAACCCTTTAAAATATCCAGTTCTGCATGTTATTGTTTTTCTTCCTCTTTCAAGTGTAGATTAATTACTATTTTTCCTTTTCAGCTTCCTATACAATTATAGTGGAATCTTTTCCAATGTGAATTTTTATTCATTCATCCGTCGATGGGTTTTACGAAGCATAAAAATACAATTCCTGTCTGAGGATCTTACAATCTAAAATTCAATAGATTGGGAAAATAAACTGAGAAAGGAAAAGGCAATGAAAAATTAAACAATAACAAAAAAAAGCAACCATGCCTTTATTTTATTTGAACATACTTAGTTCTGCTGTTTTTCTTGGTATAAATGAGTAATCAGTGATTATTTTATTGAACAGATTTTATTCTACTCACTCCTAATGGTTCTAGACAATTTATAAACATAATGAAAACAGTAAAACTTTATCTACCAATATGCACAGCATAGGAACTCTAGAAAGTCTGCTTAAAATATTTAAGCTCCATCGTGAACTGGATGACAAATGCATAATATTGAAGAGGTCCTATCACAGGAAAATAATAGCAGGATGTCATAGAATAATCTTGTAATTTTTATCGTTCCTTCTGTTCTATTTTTATACAAATAATTATTAGTTGGGATATAATGTTTATTGCACACACACTTTTGGCCAAGCTAGACTACTGACCAATCCAACCAAAATACTCCATTTGCTGTCATCTGGAAGATCTCTTGAATGTTGAAATTGCTTCCACAGACAAATCTTGTTTTTTTGAAGTGATGCCAGGTGTTGAGAAAGCTTGGCCTCCCTCATGATGCATGTTAATAAGTCCTCCTTTGATGTTCCTGACATTAAGTGATATAGAGTATCTGAACTTTTATTAGATTGATCAGCCCATAGAGAATGCAGCAGGGGTGAAATTCACTTACCTTCCCTACTGGTTTGCAAATGTGCGTGCGCTATACGCGCATTCACTTCACTCACATGCATCATCATCCGTGCATGCACAAAACCACCTGTGCATGCACAGAAGCTGAAAATCATCGCAAAAAAGGGATATCATGACATCCGCACGGGTGGGCGTGGGCAGAGCTTCGCGCAGTTGACCCTACCTGATTGCACGATCCGGAAAGAACCGGCTGAATTTCATCCCTGCAATGCAGACACACTGAGAGGCACTGTTGGTACTTGCTCTCTAGCTCTAGGATTCAGTGGTTCCTATAGTCTGCCAAAATTTGGCTTGATCATCTTCTGTCAGATTTATTTCTATGGATGATCATTTAGAATTAGTGATAAACAAGATTTCTCACACTAGAGCATCTTAAAATCTGAGCTGTTGTTTGATGTATGTATAGAACGGATTGATACAAGATCTGAAAACAATTTTCTTAAACTATATTTTCTTAGTGTTTGGAAACATAATGTGCAAAAATTTCTAGCCAGCATATCCAATCATCCAACATATTTAAAGATCCTAGTTTAGGAAGAGATGATTTTACTGAAAATACTTAATCCACAATTTGACTGAAGAGGTTTTTTTTAATTTGGACTAAGGCTTTGAAAATCTGTGCCTTTAAGGTCTGCCTCCATTGGTGCCCATCAAATTTACTGCCATGCCTGGCATTTTAGATTTTTTTTAAAATGAGAAGTTGAACAATTGCAAGTCCAAACTAAGATAGTGGAGCTTTCCTAAAAAACTAAAAATATGGCAATTGTAGTCCAATGTTTGAAGCGTGAGTAATTGCTAAAAAAATGACAAAAGTGAATGGCAATTAGAATGTTATGATAAGTGGAATAGTAAATTATCTTCTGATAAATTGGTGCTTTGTAGCTAATACAACAAAATCAGTTTTGGCATAAGAGGATTTATGGACCCTTCCCCCCCCCACCTGCAAGTGTAATCTAATTAACTATTCCAGTTAATTGCATTATTCATTACTTAAAGTTGATTTGCACTTTTTGCTTAATGGAGACTAAATGGAAAGGAAAGGAAAAATATCAAACGGTTACAACTTGTTTACCCAAGACAGGCAATCAGCTGCTAAGAACAGAAGAAGCATCAGCAGGTTCAAGAGGCTCTGGAGTTTAGCTGAGCACCCTTGGTAGTTGCTTGACAATGCCAATGTTTTGCATTAAACCTGGTCATTTTCTGTCCATCTGCTATGTTATGAGCAAGGAACTTGCATGTTGCGTAGGTGAAAAGTATAAATTTTCTTGTCACATAATAGCCGACATGTGCAGAGATATCTTTTTGGTATTTCCTGTGTCTATATGACAGATGTTATTCATGGAAAAGGTAGGATTTAAATGGAACTATAATACAGTAATAATAAACTAGAGAAGGTTGTATTTGGGGGTGGGGATAGAGGTGAAATTCAGCAAATTCTGACAGATTCTGGAGAACCGGTAGCGCAAAATTTGAGTAGTTTGGAGAACCAACAAATACCCCCTCTGGCTGGCCCCAGAATAGGGTGGAAACGGAGATTTTGCAATATCCTTCCCCCAGGAGTGGGGAGGGAATGGGGATTTTGCAGTATCCTTCCCCTGTAGTGGGGTGGAAATGGAGATTTTGCAGTATCCTTCCCCTGCCACGCCCACCAAGCCATGCCCACAGAACCGGTAGTAAAAAAATTTGAATTCCACCACTGGATGGGGATTCATAGTGCCGGATATTAAGTTCTTCCTTCTTGATACTCTACATAGATCTGATTAAAACCTATTGTCTTCCAGATATTGCTGAACAACAGCTTCCAGCATCCCTTACAATTGGCCATGCTGACTAGAGTTTCTGGGACCTGTAGTTCAGCAACATCTGGAGCATCAGAATATCATCTTCCTCTTTCAGAGTTTCAAATAATATTTGTATGTTGGCATTTTTTATTTCTGGTTGGTTACCCTTACCTTGTCTTTCAGCATGTCTGGAGTGAAAGTGAGGACTGCTTGCCTTTTCTGCAGTTGGCTCAGGACTACATTTCTTCTTGTGGTAAAAAGACACTACATGAAATTCTGGAAAAAGTCTTCAAATCATTTAGACCTGTAAGTGCACATTTTCTTATCCAATGGTTTGGATCCAATACACTAAGTGAATATGATATGTTTCTTCTAATGTCTCATAAGCTGTCTGGCAAAACACAAATAAATAAATGTTTATTTTCATCCGCCTCATTTTATTTTCTCCATCTCTGATCTTCCATTTAACAGACTTTCTGCTGGGACAGAGACGGACCATACTGACTCCCCAGCCAAATGGGAAATTATGTGAGGCTTGATATTTAAATGTTGGGTCTGAAGAACTATAGGGAGGATGTCTATATTGATTTCTATGGTGGAACTATTTTCTACTACTTTTTATGGAATTTCATAATGTAGATGTATTGAACAGATGATCAAGCACTCTTTTTTTCCTCACAAACTGAAAAAAAAAAGTGTATCCTGTTAGAAAAGTTTACTTCAAGTGCTTTGATCTTTTCCACACTTCTAAAAACACTCAAAATAGGGACTTCCGGTGGTTCCGCTAGCCTCAAAGATGCTCCTTTACGAGCGCCCATTCCCTGGTTCCATTAAAGCCCCAGAACAGCCGAAAAATAGCTGTCTGGAGGCTTGGAACCCTCTCCCCGGGCAAAGGGGAGAGAGAAGAGCAGATAGGTGGAGGTTGAGCCCCCCCAAACGCCCTAGGAAGGATCCTGGGGTGCGAAGGGTGTGCGCTCCCTAAAAGCCTGTCAAGCCGCTCCGGACCAGGGACGAATCCACTAATTAGCGGATTTAGAAGCTGCGACCAAGTCTGCCGATGGAAATGAGGGGATTTTAACATTCTGAACCAGCAGCAGGCAGAACAAGCAAGGAGAAATCAGACTGCAAGTATCTTTACCTAACTCTGATGTTTGTAGCCTCCTTCGGAACTAACAATTAGTACTTTGCAACAAAATGGCAATTGAAGCCTGAAGGGGCGGGAGAAAGTGAAAGCCTGAGAAAGTTTTGTTTTGCTGGCAGCCCTTTGTCTGAAAAGAATTTTGTACTGACAGAAGGAGGATTTAAAAACGCTAACTAAGACTGGGACTTTTCTTGAGGAACTTTTCTTTCTGGCTTCTGATTAAAATATAAAGAATTTTAAATTGGAAATGGCCTCAAAATCTGTAAAGACTGTTCCTATTAAAGGAACAGGAAGTGCTGGTAGCTCCCCAGCTCATATTCCTAGACTGCAAGCCTCTGCCCCTCCAGCAGATCCACAGACTTTAACGTTGGAGATGTTACAACAAGCCCTCCAAGTTACACAAGAGAAACTTGCTATTTTGATTAATGAAAAAACTAATGAAACCAATGAAAAAATACAGGCTGTGTCAGATGATATTGCAACTCAGAATCAGCAAATTAGGGATGATATTATAAAGACATTTAAATGTTTGGCAGGCAATATTGAAATGGTGGATGATAAAGTTGAAGAAGTTAAACTATCTATGGTAATCTTGGATAATAAATTAGATGAAGCTCAGAACAGAATTCAAAGGGCTGAAGATGATGTAGCTATGATACAATACAGAAATATGGAATTTGCTTTAAGATTTAGAGGGGTGAAGGAGAACAAACAAGAGAACTTGAAAGAAATGATGTCTGAGGCATTGGCACCGTTGGTGGGGGAGTCAAAAAACAATCTGGGCTGGCAGATTGACAAGCTGTATCGCATTAATTCTTGGGTTGCCAGACAGAAACATTTACCAAGAGACATTGTGATATATTTCAATACAAGGAAAGTACGCAATGAAATTCTACAGGCCACTTTTAACAATAAACTCCAGGTTGAAGGCCAGGAAGTGATGACAATGAAAGAAATCCCTCCTAAGATCTTGAGAGCCAGAAGGGAGTATGCATTTCTGGTGGATGAACTGAAAAAACGCCAGATACAGTATAGAGGGGAGGTGCCGGCTGGATTGGTGGTGACCTATTCAGGAGAGAGGTATCGGCTTAACACAATATGGAAGGCAAGAGATTTTTATATTAACGTATTAAAGGCTGGCACACCCAAATCCCCCAAATCACCAGAGGGCAAAAGAAAGAAGGATGTGATGGAAGATGAAAAAGAAGAGCTCCTGAGAGTAGTTCAGGGGGGAGTTTTGACAGGCAAAGGAGAAGAACCATTACAAATTCAGATGGCTGTTCAAGAGTTGGAATTAATTGATTTATCGCAACCCAAGGATCAAAGACAGACCAGATCGGTGACAGCTAGGCTCAAAGAAGTATCAAGACAGCAACAATTCCAGATAGCAACTCAAGAAACAATTCAAGAATCTACCAAGACAGAAGCAGTGGGAGGAGCAAGACCTAAAGGTCAAATGAGACAAGACCACCAGAATCTGCTCCAGTTGCTTCAAGGGCCCAGAGATGGGAACTAGATTTTTGACTTGGAATGTTAATGGTTTGAATTCTCCACAGAAAAGAAGAAAAATATTTCATTATCTTAAACAATTTAAAAATGATGTGATTTGTTTACAAGAGACTCACATAAGAGTACAAGACCAAAAATACCTGATAAATGCAAGACTTGGTACACACTACGCAGCAGCAGCACCAGAAAAGAAAAATGGTATAGTCATATATTTGAAAAGAGACTTAGTTGCTAAATTAATTGAAGCAGACGACCAAGGAAGATTCTTAGCGATAGAACTTTTAGTTAAAGGAGAAAAAATATTTGTAATTGGAGTCTATGCCCCGAATTAACAACAAGAAAATTTCTACAATTTGCTACACTCAAAGTTGACATAATGGGCATATAAAACTTGCATCCTGTTGGGGGATTGGAATGGTGTCTTGGATATTAAAAAAGATAAGAAGGGACCTAAACAAAATGTTTTAACAAGAGCAAAATTGCCCAAAGCGTTTTGGGAGATGATGGATGATTGGGAGTTGAGGGATATTTGGCGTGAAAGAAATCCGGAAGAAAAAGATTTTACTTTTTTCTCAGACAGACATCAATCCTTTTCAAGGATTGATTTTATTCTAATTACTAATGATCTTTTACCTAGGGTGAAGAACACGAAGATTTGTTCAAGAATCTTGACAGACCATAGTCCAGTTTGGTTGGAATTGGAGTGTGGAAAAGGGTCTAGGAGGTCCTGGAAGTTAAATGATAATTTGTTTAGGTATGAAGAAAATGTAAAAGAATGTAAAAAATTTATGAAAGAATTTTTTGTTATGAATATGCAAAAGGGTACATCTATGGAAATGGTATGGGATGCAAGTAAAGGATATATGTGAGGAATTTTGATATATTTGAATAATAAACATAGAAAGAAACAGGGGGCAAAAAGAAAAGAATTAGAAGATGAGATTAGTAAACAGGAACTGGCTTTAATAGTCAATCCAACAGATAAGAAAATTAAAGAGGCAATCAATTTATTGAAAGGTCAATTTAATATGTTAATAGCAGATCAGGTGGCAACTAACTTACGATATGCAAAACATAATACTTTTTATAACGCCAATAAATCAGGCAGATGGTTAGCATATCTGTTAAGGAAAAAGCAAAAATCAAGGACAATAGAGAAAATAAGATATAAGGGTAAGGAGGTTTATGAGCAACAACTGATTAAAAAATCTTTCCTAGAGTTTTATTCGAGGCTGTATACTGGTGATAAAATCAAAGATATAAATATAGATAGATATTTGCAGAAGGAAAATAAATATACAATCTCAAATGAACAGAGGGATAGTTTAAATCAAATGATAACTTCCAAGGAAATTGTGTTAGCAATTAAACAATTGAAAGTGGGTAAACTCCTGGGACGGACGGTCTGACAGCTATTTACTATAAAACTTTACAGGAGGAAATGGTGGAACCATTAAAAGAATTATTTAATAATATACAACAGGGAGGAGAGGTGCCTCCAACTTGGAAGACAGCATTTATCTCATTGATCCCAAAAGAAGGGCAAGACGAAACAGACCCTAAAAATTATAGGCCGATCTCATTATTGAACACAGACTATAAGATTTTTTCTAAAATTTTAGCAAATAGACTAATGACAGTTATGCAGCAAATGATTAACCATGATCAAACTGGATTTATAAATGGCAGACAAATGAAGAGTAATGCAAGGCAAATTGTTAACTTATTAGAGTATCTGGGAAGGAACAACCGGGTCCACCGCAGTGTTAGTGTTTTTGGATGCTGAAAAAGCCTTTGATAGATTGAATTGGCAATTTTTATTAAAATTAATAGAAAGGATGTAATTTGGAGAACAATTTATACAATCTATTAAGGCAATATATCAAAAACAATCAGCACAAATAATAGTTAATGGTGGCTTAACAGATTCTTTTAATATAGAGAAAGGAACAAGGCAAGGTTGTCCCCTGTCTCCATTATTGTTTGTGTTGATGCTGGAAGTTCTACTAAATAAAATACGCGAGATGGATACAGTAAAGGGAATTAAAATTAGACAGCATGAGTATAAGTTACGAGCATTTGCGGATGACCTGGTTGTTACCTTAACCCAACCGGTACAATCGATTACAGCCTTGATGGACATAACCTGCTTATATGGACAAGTATCTGGTTTTAAAATAAATGCAGCAAAAAATGAAAATAATAGCTAAAAATATGGTGAGAAGCCAGAAAGAAGAGATAGAAAGGTTAACAGGATTTGAGGTAGTTAAGAAGGTTAAATACTTGGGGGTTTATATTATGACTGCAAATATGAAATTATATCAGCACAATTATGAACCACTATGGCATAAAATACAAAAGGAGATGGAAAATTGGAAAAAACTACAATTGTCTTTGCTGGGAAGGATAGCCGCTGTAAAAATGAATATTTTACCAAAATTCTTATTTCTTTTTCAAATGATACCTATACTTAAAAAAGATGAAAATTTGAAGGAATGGCAGAAGGGCATAAATAAGTTTGTGTGGGCAGGGAAGAAACCTCGAGTTAAACAAAAGATAATGCAAGATATTCGAGAAAGAGGTGGTCTTAAAATGCCCAATTTAAGATTGTACTATGAAGCCGCTGCCCTCTCAGCAATTACAGACTGGATAAATT